TTTGTATAACCGTCTCGAATTCTCCCAACCTCCCCTCGTGTTGCTATCAGGCTATGTAAACACGGAAAAAGTTTTCTATTGCTTAAATAAACAACAGTTAGAAGGCTCATAATATTTTTTTTGATTATCATTTGTAATGATGACTATAGATAAGTATGGGAAAAGTTTTAAAATGATTTTTTWAAAAACTACATATAAAAGTATTTGAAAATGATATAACATGCACACTGATTGGCTGGCTACCATGTTTATATCAGAGGACGGAGATACATTTGCACAAAATCATTCAAAAATATTTGATAAAAACAAATTGCCTGCTTCTGTCTCTGTGCTTGATCGGTCTTTAACACCTGTTAGATATCATTTAGTATTTTTTCTTTCTGGAGGAGGGAAATTTAATTATCAAGGAACCAAGAAATGGCTTGAAGACAGTCTTGATAATCCAGGTGAATATTTGAACAAAAGTAAACGTTGTTTACAATCTCATTACAGCGGAACCAGGGGCCACTTAGACCATTTGGACAAGAGAACCAATTAAAATGTAGAATTCACCATCCTAAAGTCAGTTCAAATAGAAAGAAACTGTGCCCTTGACCTTAAAAATGAATTTTCAATACCTCAGGCAAAAGTTTCCCTTATCCTGACCTTCTGGCCAGTAAATAACCTCAATGCATTTTGTGAAGAGTGTGGAAACTAATATGCACGTTTTTTGTCTGGAGTAATTTCCTTGTGGAATGGTTCAGTAGTATTGGTATACATATATAATATAGATGTAGAGTAGGAGCAAAACTGATAGTCGTGTCTTCTTCTCCTTGTCTTGTAGTCTTTTCTTAAGATCAGATTCTTTGAAAAAGATTGAAGTACCAGCTAATGTAAACATGAGCTTCAGAAAACAGCTAATGTAAACATGAGCTTCAGAAATTTTTTTCTAAAAATCAGTTTTTTTCTTTCTTAGAGCAAAGTGCTTTAAATGAAGTGGATTTTGTGCTGTGTTTGGATAGTCTTGGCAGAGACGACAACCTTTTTCTTCATGTTTCTAAGCCTCCAAAAGAAGGCACACTTGCATTTGAACTCTTTGAAGTAAGTCTTACACACAATAGAAATAAATGTCTGTCAACTCCATTAGTGATTAGACTAAGAATGTGTTTTTTTTAATTCTAAAAAGAACAGTTTTGTTTTACATGTGGAAGGTAACGAAGGAAGATTTAAAGAATATTATATTGTGCTTGTTTTATTGATTGAAAATAATTGCCATTATGTTGTCAGTCAAAAACTTGAAATACCCTAATTTTACCCATATCAAACTATGAGTGTCAAAGCTCTCTTTCCCGGTCTTAAAGAAAAGGGACTGGGGAGAAGCTTATTTTTTTCGTATTTTTCATAGCTTTTTTTCTTGTTTTTCCTCTTCTCCAAGCTCATAAATGTCTCTCAGCCGTTTTGCCAGCCGACGAACACGCTTGTCGGCCATCTTTGACCTCAGGGTAAAGACCCGCAATCCAAATATGGAATTATATGATTCCATATATGGAGTGACCTCCAACTTTGACACTAATGTATGGAGCAAAACTTGATATGCTAAAATTTAGGTTTTCTAGTTCCAAATATGATCATCATTATCATTCAAAGATATAGAATTACTAAACTCTTCCTTTTTCTTCTTGATCAAAATTACAGGACTTCAAACAGGTAAGGTTCCTTTTTTTGTGCCTGACATTTATGATCATGATTATTTAGAAGGATATCATATTATCATGACAGATGACTGACTAGTGGTGGATATTCCATTCATCCATTCATTCTTTCATTCATCTGCTGTTTGTTTACAAACTTTCGAATACTTTGTCACTGACTCACAGCCAATGAACTCCAATCATGTGATATTAAAAAAAGGAAAAAAATTATTTTTTTCATTACTGTTTATCTTTGTGTAGTGTTGTGTAGCGTTGGTTGAATGTACTAATTTGACTGAAACTTTCCTTCAACTTTATATTCACTGCCATTGAGATCAGCAAGAGGAATACCAATTTATCCTACTTTGATGTACATAATTTTTTTTTCATTTTTCATAGGTTGCCCAGAACATGTTTCCTCAACTTAATTTCTCAGTAATCCACAAAAAAATTAACCTAGCTGATGAGGTGTTGTCATGGGAACATGAACGCTTTTCAGTGCATACACAGCGGCTTCCTGCTGGTACTTTATCTCACTACAGTGATCCTCAAACCCCTGGAAGAAGATCCATGTTTGACATTAGGTAACATTCTCTCTTAATTATTTTACTTCATAGAATATATTTTATACACTGTACTAGCTTGCCTCTGAGCAAACGTAATACAGGGGAACTATGCTATACATGGGATTTTTGCTATACAGGGGAACTGTGCTATACAGGGGATTCATGCTATACAGTGGAACTATCCTATCCTGATCAATTCACAAACTTATTGATATGCATGTAAAGTTCTCATACCATTCTTTTAGAGTCTTCTGGGGCTGTTTATATTCTTTATTTATACAACTTTTTGATTGATAGTTTGTTTTTTACTCTTGAAGGGTTCATGATGACCAAAAACTAGAAAGAAACATAAAGTTCATAGCTGAGAGCCTGGCTAGACATATATTCAATTTGACCAAAAAGGTATGAGTACAGTTTCTTGTACTGACATACAAGAAACTAAACATCATTTCTGCTAACTTATCATGCTTTAGATTTTTGTTCTGGAAATAAAGGACAACTGAGGTCATATTTTTGCTTGACTATGGTACAGCAATAGACCTTTTTACTTTGGGTGTAATGTTGTCCTATTTTAGACCATGTATCAATATTGTTTGTTTAATGATAAACATGGACACAACTCAAACAAAGAATCATATTCTCAAGAGAATGGCATGTGGTCTGAAATGGGAAAACATTATGCCCAAGGAAATGAGATCTGTTAAAAAGATCCAAGTGTTGCTGTAAAACCACCAAACATATTGCTTAAGATTATATTTTTGTTTGGATCATTTATGGATTCCAGTCTGTTGTAAAGAGCATAAAAAGATAATTAATTGTCCTGGCACCAAACAATACCAGTCAAGTCATCTAAATTCCTCCTCATTTAGAGGAAATAGCAGAAATTTAAAAAACAAATTTTTACAACCATTGCCCCCGTAAGGGGCTCTTTTGTGAGGTTTGTTCCACATTCACTACTAACACATTTACAGACTATTAATTTACAACACACAGCACTCAACTCAAATGTGAATTTTTGTGGAGGGAGGAAAACCAGAGAACCCTGAGTAAAACCCCCATGGTAAGGGAGAGAACAACACATCATCAAACAAACTCAACCCATATATATTATATAGTTCAATCAGGAACCAAACTTGCAACCACAGATTTGCAACCACAGGCATGGAAAAAAAAAAATTTTACAACCATCACTCACCATACCTCTTCAGTGAGGTTTGTGCCAAACACACACTACCACTACATTCTATATTTACAACAAGCAACACTCAGCACAGAACTACACAGCAGTGAGAGAAATCCAGTGAGAGACATCACAGTAGCAGCACATGTCATTAAAAAAAGCAAAACAGTAAGCAGCCTTGTAGAGGAGAGTATATCATGTTAAAATGCCAGCCACAACTAGAAGTTATTATCCAAATTAATTAAACAATTCAATATTCTGTTTGTGTGTTTTTAATCTAGGGATATTCCAAAGATTTAGAGACTTTCACACAAGGACTGGTAAGTAATCAGGTCATGCTTTTGAATGATTTAATACTTTCTAGTTTTTAAGCTTTGAATATCATTATTTCTTAGGGTGTTGATTCTCAATTTGTTAAAACATGGATGGATTATCTGAGTTTACAGCCAAGACCAGCCCAAAGTCTTCACAAAGATCATCCATTTCTACAAGGACTAGAATTGGTGAGTTGCAGCTCTCAGCACTATTGTTACCTCAACCTTATGGCTGGATTTGATGTGCAAACCCCTGCTATTTAAATATGCCATGGGAAGATATAATAATAATAACTTTATTAATGTCGTTAATTCTTCTAGCCGGGCACAAGTGCCCTACTAATCGGTAGTATGTAATTAGCTTGTTAGCCCCAAATCTTCCCTGGAAGATTTTAAAGCTGCCTAAGGCTTTGAGACACTTTGGAATTGGGCCAAGGGGTATGTGATTTATTCAATCGAGAAAAACAATGAAAACTGAGCTGATGTAAAAATAAGTAAGCTGGTCCATCAGTTTACCTTGTCGAAATGAAATTTGTTGCCTGTGCACAGCTGCTTCCCACCCCTATGCAAATGCCATTACTAATAGACCTACAATGGTATAGGTAATCAGAACATGGCAATACTTTCTTTATTTCTAATACCTTACAGTCTGGTAACACATACCAGTATATTCAGGAACCACATGGATGGCAACTCCCTTGAAAATTTCAAATTGCTGTAAATATTTTTAAGCCCCGTTTACACTAGGAATTTTTGCGGCGATTTTTGCTGCGATGTTTTGCGATTTTGTCCATAATAAATAATGGTAAAGAATTTACATGTAAAGTTTTTTTTCAGGATACCAAGATGGCGAATGTCTCTTTTGAAGGATGAGACAAAAGATTTCATATTTCCGAAAATTGCCACAAAAATCGCAGCGAAAATCACCGCAAAAATCGCCAGTGTAAACAGGGCTTTAGGTAAATGTTTTATGATTTTTTTCTACAGACATTGTCTAAATTTATAAAAGATGTCAAAAGAACCACCATGAAGGCAGATAAAAGGTAAGTCTTGAAACTATGGAATAAGCCACATTGAAATCCTGAAAGCATCAGCAGTGCTTATAGTCTTTAACCTCCTTGATATTCTTATTATTCTAGGGATCCTGAATTCGTATTTTATGACCAACTTGAAACAAAAATGTCTGCATACAGGTAAATAGAGTGGACAGGTTTGAAGAAACTATTTTTCAAGGTGCTTATGGATTTAGAGGCAACGGATATGTGAACACCTAATGTATAATTTGATCAAGGGTGGTGTAGCGGTAGTTCACTCACCTCTCACCTCTGGGGTTCAATTCACCTTTTCGGCGTCAGCCGTCACGGGGTATAAATTGTACAAATGTACTGACTCTAAATGAACTATTTACTTGGTTAATGTGTAGTTAGTTCTCTAAATACAAGTAAATGATCATTTTTCTAGCTTGATTGAAGCTTTTCTTACTGCTGTTAAGATAGCTAACTAAAGAAATCTACCTAAATTTTCTCTTTAAAGTCAGTGAATTTGTATGGAAATCCGAGAACAATGTCCGAACTTTTTGGTGACCGTAACACAATCCAAGCTAGCGCTAAAAAGATGAATTTCCAGATTCAGCATCACATATCAGTAAAGTTTGTTAGGTCCCTCCCTTGATTTGAGGGATTTTTTTCCAGTTTCTCTGGTTTTCGTCCCAACTCACTGAATTCCAATTTATTTTACATGGCAAGACATAGAAATGCCAAGCAAGTTAGTTCGTAGTTTAAAATTCTTGTCATTGATAAAATATGTATCTAAGTAATATTTGCTCAATCCTTTTTCTATTCCTTGCAGGGTTAAACCAGCTATCTTTGATTTATTCTTGGCTGTTGGTATAGCAAGTTATCTAGGAATGGTTTATCTGGCAATTCAGGTAGAGTAATTATTCAAAAACAGGTTTAAGATCACAGGACTCAATACGTGTCTGTAAACTCCTGGCGTTTTATCTCCTCAAAACTCTTGCAGACCTTTAGAAGTGTACCACAGCTCCTTTAATCGGCCTGCAAAATAAAATAACGTGACTGCTGAAAAAAAGCATTTTTCTTTCTAAGGATTCGAGTATTTGACTGAACAGAATTCATGGATTTGAAAATACTCTAAAAGCATGGGATTTTTGTTTTTCAAAATGAAAAATATTGCCGGAAATTCTTTTTATGATTGCATTTCTTGATATCATTCACTTTTTTTATTGCAGAACTTTTCCAGTTTGTCTGACTTTTTGTGGCAGAAGCAGTTAGGCAACCTTAAGGTGAAGCAGGGCTAGTGTTTCGACCTCAACTTGTGTACAGTAAATAATGCTGTTGTGTCAATAATGATCTGTTAACTCAAGGCCTGTTTTTATAGACAATGGACATCAATTTTCCTAGATGTACTCAGTTGACTAATATTCAAATACATGTATTTCATGGGCAAGTCAAGTCTTGTGTTATACGAATTTACATGACTATGCCTTGCTGCGAATCTAGTTTCTTAGAGAGCCTTGACAAGAAAACATGACGTCATACATTATTGATACTTCCCCCACATCTCTGATGGTGCTACATTTCCCCCATTTCTATTATAAGCAGACCAGACAACCGACCAGTACTTTAGGTGTTTGGGTTTTTGGATTCCAGTCCTTCTACCCGAGTCAACTTTCCTATAGTCTAACTTAGTAGTTTTTCTATGTTAGGTATGCCCAAAACCTAGATTAATATTTCTTGGTTAGATTAATTCCATAAGTCGGCCTCAGGTGCTCTCTGTCGAATATTTCCCCCCGCTCACCACTTGAGCGATCACCAAGCACGAAGGAGCGAAAACTACGACTATGGAATCAGTCTAATCCTTGGTAACCTAATTACGAAAATAGGTTAATGAATGAATGTTGGAATCAAATTGGGCACCAGACAAGTCTTGATAACCTCGGTGGAAGTCATTTGTAGACGAAACAGAAACTTTGCTTTGAAAATCAATAAAACATGCGGACATGGAGAGATCAATGATTTGATGCTCTTCACTGAGTCGTTCCCGGCCCCTCTAAAACATTTGTTTTGAAGGCAAGTTGTGTTGATTTATTTCTGCTAGTTTTGCACACTGTATAAGGCGTTGCCAACTAACGTGCGGTCATATTTACAATCATAATTGAGTCTTAACACGATAAAAAGACCTCACACCTCCCTGCATCAATGCAGTAAAAAAGTCTTCTCAAACGAAAAAGTAAAGAAGCCTTCACAAACAAGACATACACCATAGACTATCATAAACAGTACTCCTTGCATTATGGGAGAATAGGCTGACTAGGCATACAAGATATTCAATGCACTGCTGCATACTAATCCTTGGAAGAAACCTTTTCAATTTCTTTTTATTCGGAGTGGATTTTTCAGTCCCGTGCAGCATTTTATGAGTGAGTCATGAAAGAAAATTTGAAAACAAAATTGTAACCATTTCTAGATCATTATTGACTCAAATAAAAAAAACTTATCACTCTCCAATTGAGGTACAAGATTTTGGACTGCAATGAGCTTCTGAAAGGGGGCTATCATGAACTCCTAATGATCTAAGATCAACCATTTTTAGGATAAATAAGTAGGTACAATTCATGAAAATGGGTTATTTTTCCGAACACACTTCTCAGAAACCCAATCAGGTCTGACAGTAAAATATGTTCTTTTATGACTAGTATGGCTGTAAAACGCATTATTATGTAGAAAGTGGTAATCCTTTGTTTCTCCTGACTGGGCGGCAGGCACAAAACCAGGGTTAATACCAGGTCTTGGTTTACCGTGAACAAACTCTGGTGGCCGTCTGTACATGAAACTGGGAGCTAGTTTGACGTTCATTTGTGTGTGTTTGATCTTAGGGGTAAAATGAACTCCATACTCTGACTTGGCAGGAGGCTCCTTTGCTACTGTCATGGAAAGAAGTGGGGGAAGCTTGACAGATTGATAAGATGGCAGTGTTGTACGTAAACCCATGTCGACTGAAATGAGCAAAAAAAGGGGACATAACTACTATTCTACAACTCTCTTAAGACATGAAGATCAATGCAAGGGACTATGCTGGGACTATGCTAAAAACTCAATATCAAAATATAATGGCATTACTGAATACTGCCATTCAAGTTATTTGTTTTGTCATAGAGCTACAATAACTCAAACTACTAATGCACTAATATGTAGTATTAAGAAAAACTACCAATTTATTACCTGTTTTTATTTCCTGCACGTATTTCTCCAAACCTTCAACATTTACGACATCAGAGAATTCAGCTTTGCAGATTTGCAGTCTATCGGTTTCGTCCACTATCTTGCATGCGATTCTGTTCGATCATTAATTGTAATGTTTTTCCCGCTTTACCTTGTCACGCGTACGATGATCTATAAATGTTTGGACTGTTATCTGTCAAAACCTATTTGCTCCCAGAAATAATGACGCCTTTACAAAATATTGGTACTCTAAACAAACAAACGGATCGCAGTCACTTTTTTGGTAATTAAGACCCATCAAATCTTTTATTCACTCGCATTTGTATAATTTTGTCAATAGCGTTGTTTCCATGGCAATTTAAGCCGAGCTAATGCCTATTAAACTCTCTTGAGACCATGGTCATGCAGTCTGTTGTGGACAAAGGATATTACGTTATAAAGAGCCATAGGAACACAGCTGGGCCCCTTAGCAAACTGATAAAGTCGAATCTAAGGCTACTGAATAACTGACCTAGTTTTGTACTGGCCAGGTCCCTAGCTTGTTATCGATGGTTAAATGTCAGGTCCTTAGATTCAATTTTTCCAGCTTCACAGTACTCCGATAAACGTTTGTCTTAAATCTTCAACGTCCTTGTCAGTGGCGAATTGTGTAAACTTTTGATTGAATTTGAAATGAGTGCATGAAGCTCAAGACGACAGGGCCTGTCCTTTTTTCATCTAATGGAATGATGRAGGAATTTTACGATTTTTATCCTTTCTACATGTCCCAGGTTTCTAATGAGAATTAAAGCAACTGAACAAACAATCAACTAACAAATCATAACAAGATAATAACAATTAGCATGTGTATATTGACTTTCAATTAAAGTTCTCTACATCGTCTTTGTCTTTGTGACCTTCCATGTGAAGTCTGCATACCAATGTATTCATCACTATGGCAACAGGTTTGTGTAACACACGCTTCGGCTCAAGAACCCAGGTGACGATAAAAGTGTTCGGAGCTGGCTGAAGTGTCATTAAAGACTTTATTGAAGAACTTGGAGAACTCTACTTTAATAAATCGTGATTATAAAAACTTGTAAAGTTTTGCAGGACAGTCTAGTGACTTGGAGTTCGACATATTGGATCATAGCATGCCGGCCAATAGAGGGGATCCAGGATTCCTCAGAGAAACAGTCTCGAAGATCGTGTACAGAACAGAATACTCATCGAGTTTTAGAGGAGCTGACGATCCATTCCAAAATATTCCAATTCCCAGCCATTTTAGCAGAAGAGCAGCTTGGGCTGCAGCACCTCATAATCAAAACAAGCCAACGACGTCCAGAGTCGTGCAGCTTCCATTAAACCGAGTCAAGCATGAAACGATCAATCTTCAAGGCTTGCAACCAAACCGTATTTCCAGTCACAGAAAAATTAGAAGTGCGACAGAACGACATACCATACCATTTAATGTTACCCAAAACAGCTTGGATCGTGGTCGGCCGTTCTCGGGAATCACGACATCAAGCCGAGCAAGAACCGAAGAGTTAGTTCGAACATCTCAAAGTTTAGTGGCACGTCGTTTACAGAGTCAACTGTCAAGGTTTCCGAAGGATTTCAGATACATCGATAAGCAATGTTTTTTCCATCCCGCACAAGAACTATCACATAAAACATTCTTTGTTATCAGCCCGGATTGGGTCTCAGAACGACAAAACTTTATACGTAAAAACAACATGTTTGGTTGAGTCAGACCACATCATTCCCCTATACATTCAGACAATATCTCCACTGCCACAAGATTTTGTCCCCCCTTATAAATATGGTCTACACAGTGCCAATAGGGCCGGCGATGCTTGCAGCGATCAGTGAGGTGCGGTTTTGGTCGTAGTGGAAATATTATTTTGTAAAGTTTTATTCTATAACACGAATACTTGCAGGAATGACTCTTTGGGACAAAATTCATTCTATTTTCACAAAATCTTACACGGACTGTCACATCGTTATCAACGTACCAAGGTTGCATGCACGGAGTGGTGTGCGTGCTAATATTTAAATTAAAATCACCATAAAAATACCATTCCAGTACTCTGTATTGTAAAAACGAGATTTATTTTTGTGGTTTATTTAATATTACAATATAATTTTTACATTTCACACCAGTATTATTTATACCCTATAAGTAGCGGCGCACAGGATGATTGGGGATTACCGTTGCCCAGGGTATCTTACTACCTATACTCCAGAAATATTCAACGATTACACTTATCCATTCATAATGGACTGGTAACAAGATCTTTATCGAGTGCTTCTCTTTGTTGTCCTGCTAAGATTTAAGGAATGCTGGTTATAAAGTACCTTTTTGATGCATTTACTTTGGACACACATCTTCCTTAACCCTGCGAGCAGGGTTTTATTACCAAATACCTTTCAATGTGATTTTCGACAAGCTTAGTGTTCTGTAATAACTATTGATAAATTGACTGCACGCATTATCCCCATTATCCCCCAGGGCGTAGCCAGGGGGTCGACTTCGTGGCAACACAATGGCTGCTTTTTAGAATTTATATGGTATTTTCAAATATTTTTTTGTAAAAATGAAATGTAAAACGTAAGGAAAACGTTTTTCGATTCTTTATTTTTTTCTTTTTTTTGGTTCGATGTTTCGGAGACGCAAGCAAAATGGCAGATTTTTAAAATCCCCCCCCCGGAAAATCCCGACTACGCCCTTGTTTTTAGATCCATATCTTTTACGATATAACTTAAAGCTATGCTACTTCAGGATCTAGCCCCCTCCCACCCTTCCCCAGATCCTCATCGCTATCTTAACAAACTGCACTCGATCGTATTTGTCTCTTGTCAAAATTTACAAACTTTTAGAAAATGTGTTTCATGTGCTGCTAAATAAAGATGCTGTTTTACATTTACTCTTCTCTTTATAATCAGTTCAAGAACACGAGTGTTCATTTTATCGATACATGTTAAGGTTGCCTAAAGGAACAGAACTGCGCTGTAAACTGCCTAACTTAACATCCACACGGGAACTCTTCTTTGGTGTGTAGCAGCGTTGATGTGTCGTGCTAAATTCTCTCTCACCAGGGATTTGAGGTTGAATGTGAGACATCTTGAGCTGTGGGAAAAAAGGAATTATCACAGTTATTCTCGCTGTGCCTTAACGGTTTTTTATCTAGTTTTCCTCTCTGCACCAAATTCAATCTACACTTTCAAGACTACCTTTCGATCCTTGGATTCATGTTCTTCAAGAAAATCCCCCCCCCCCCAATGGAGGTCAGCTTAGTCTGCGTAGCTAGGCGTTCCTTGTAGGTTTCTTGTGGGTTTTTTTTGGGGGGGGGGGGGCTTGGGGAGGAGAGAGGAGGAGAGAGGTTCCCACAAGAAACCCACAAGGAACGCCTGGCTACACAGGCTAAGGTCAGCTAGCTGTTTCATTTGAATTTAATTAGCCGCATATCTAAATCGTTGTATTTTTCCTTTTTATTAATCGCTTCGTGATGTCGTTTACATGTTGGTGTACTTTTGCCACAACTACTAAAAAGCTTCACCAATTTCCTTTTTTCCTCAGATTTGTATTTCCTTATGAGAATAGTGAACCGAATGAATGGTGAACACTACTTACATTTTGTAGTGAAAGTGGGTTGGGCACTAGTTTTGGGATTCCTGCATGCGATTGGAAATCGTTCCACGTTGTAGGTACACCAACGAATCCTCCTAAATAACAAAAACTTTGTTAGACCATGAGGTACAGTCAATAGAGGTTTTGAACCATCACATGATGGCAGCCATGACAGGTAGCACAGCGCGCAATGGAGTCCCTTGGGAACCCGAATTCTTTCTCATGTAAATTATATTAGACCAGATTCACTGGATTGCATGTTCCTGCGTCCAGTCCTGGCTGCCATCACATGATGGTAAAAAGCCTCTATACCGCGGTATTCGCTCTTATTATCAGCGCTTTATTCTCTCGTGACAAGATCATGTTATCAGCGCATCTAGATCTCATTCCATGAAGTTCAGAAATACTTTTAACTTGCAAGGGGTAATACAGCAACACAGAACTCAAAACACAAAACAAACAGGGCCGACACCAGGCACTTTTTAAAAACACATCCTTGAAAACCTAGCCTTTTTCGGTCTTCAAGTGTCTTTATATTGGCTTAGCTTGAAAAGTACTGCGCATGGCACGATCACGGTACGGAGTAAACAATATGTTAAACCAATCCTTGCAGTGAGTCGGGTTCCTCAGGGCTCGGTTCTACGAAGGGTGGATAAGGATTTATCCATCGGATAGCGCTATCCAACCTTCGTACAACCAGGCCAAGGGCGACAGTGCCTTCACAGATAAAGTATAGGACGGCACAAAGACTTTCAATATTCTGGTACTTTTGATACAGAGTTGCAATGACCGTAGATGATGAATGATGAGTGTGACACGCTCACGGGATCACATCGCGCGTGGCTATTCATCCTGCAGAATATACACGGTAAACGCGTCACTTTCGCGGTCACATCACGAAACGATGGTACTGTGAAACGTTAGTTTTTCATAGTTATACTCATGCAGCTCCGTCACGGCAACGGTACGATTGATAAAACAAAACCTGGTCTAATTCATGCATGTTACGTTATATAAAACTGTAACTTACGGTAATAGTCCAAAGGTAAAGAGCTATTGTTGGAGTTGCCAATCTGTGGGTTCTTGTGAATGTTTGGCAGAGCTGTATAATCTGTTTTCATAGATGTATCGTAATACTTGGAAGATGCACAATGTCCAAGKTGGACATTAGACTTGGTTCTTAGATGAGATCCCTTCACTAACGTATTCCTGTGACCAACAGCAGGCTAAAAAAAACAAATGTTTGTATTCGATCGTGAGAAACACAGGCAAGAGAGGTACATGTGTAGATGAATATTGGATGTATGGTGTGCGCAATGCATGTTGAGGTGGACACATGGTACAATGTCACTGTTTTATGGATGTATGGTGTGTACAATGCTTGTTAAGGTGGACACATGGTACA